CCCCCCCCCCCCAAAACAAAAATGCCTAACAAAAGATTAATATAAAAGATTAATATAAATCACGCAAGGACAGGGACAAAAATCACCACAAAAATCATAGTATAACATAATTACTATAAATAGTATAATAATCTTTAAGTTCTACTATTATGTAAATGTTGGAGGAAGGGACCCGAATATTTTGTTTAGTTAATGTTATTTTAATGTACTTATACCTAAGTAAATAGACACATTTTTTTCCTTTTAGAAAAAAAAAAAAGTTAAAACAGAATGCTTTCACTGCTTGAATAAACAAAAATATTTGTGCTGAAATTGAATGACAGTATATTTATACAATAAAATGATTAATTACCATTATTTGAATGTTGATTAATCATAAGCATCCCTGGTTATTAGTTATTTGTCCATTTAAACAGAATTCAATGACTGCTCTTCATATAATTGTAGAAAAATTAATTTAAAAACATTGTGTAAAACTTGTGTTTTCATCCTGTCCAGGTCTGTCTGCTCCTGTCCCACGGGGTCGTAAAGGCAAGAAGCTGAAGAACCAGTTGAGTCCCCCTGAGCTGAAGAATGCAGACTGGCTGGTCCACTGTAACCCAGAGGTTGTGCTTCAGGACGACAGCTACAAGAAACACCTCAAACAACACTGCAACAAGTAAGACTTGTGGATATTACGCAACATAAGTATGCATTTGCAAAGTGTAGCAAAAGTACATTTTGCTCTCTGATCATACTACATAAATAGTAAGTACTTTAATCAGGGTGCAAAATTAAAATGTTCATGCATCCTACCTGTCATAAAACAATATTTGTTATTTCATTACAATATTATGAGATCAGACATATTGTAATTGATACATGTGCTCATCATAATTACAGGGTTTTAAATGTGTGATCATCATGTATCGTGTCATAAACAGGGTTCTGCTGAGGGTGCGGATGCTGTACTATTTGAAGGTCGAAGTGCTTGGGGAGGCTGCCAATCAGGCACTTGAAGGGATCCCATCCAGGTACTACATGGCCCACAAATTATCTCAACCTCATGCGTACTCCATGAATTCTGTATCAAACTGTTGTCATTGTAGAGTGGCTTAATATGTAAGGATTTCTGTGTTTTCTACAGTAAACTGGAGGTAACCCTCCCTGATATCGACTATATTGAGATACCTACTATATGGTGGGATGCTGAAGCAGATAAATCGCTGCTTATTGGAGTTCACAAACATGGTGAGACATAATCAAAGAAGAATGGGTGCAACCGTCGCACCCAGTTTTATGATGCAATTCTTGTGATTACACAATGGAAATCCATGCAGACACAAATACATAAAAGTCATTTTTTACTTTTTAGCAGAGATGTGATGCATTTGAATGCATTTAGCGAATCTTTATATGCTTCATATGGTTCATATTGACTTCCTCCTACTTTTATCATGTGCATTAACTTCTCTTTGTGTCCCATGCAGGGTATGAGCGGTATAACGCCATGCGTGCGGACCCTGCTTTGTGTTTCCTGGAGCGAGTGGGTATGCCTGATGTCACTGCATTGACGGTAGAGCAAAGTGGAGCAGAAACTGCTTCAGATGCACCTGATAGGTAATATGCTTTGAGCAGCAGAGATATAACAGTTGCACCACTTGGCTGTTACTCCCATAAACACGTTTCTTCTTTTGCAGTATCAGCAAGAGTGATGAAATCAAAGAGGAGAATGATATTAAGTTTGAGGAATCAGAAGAGAAAGTAGAGATCAAGGTAATAATAGGAAGTCAAAGAAGTGTGAAGTCAGATGAATTTTTAGCGTTTTAACCAAATGCTCAGACTGTTCATTTAAGTAAAGTTTTCTTTTACAAAGGAGGAACCCATGTCAGAGGAAACAGGGAGAAATGACAGTACAGTGACAGGTATGGAAACCTTCCTTATCTGTTTACTTATTTACCAGTAATGTTGAAATAGAATCTTTAATTGTTTGTAAATACTGTTAAAAAGGGGTCATATGATGCGATTTCAATTTTTCCTTTCTCTTTGGAGTGTTACAAGCTCTTGGTGCATAAAGAAGATCTGTAAAGTTGCAAAGACTAAAGTCTCAAATCCAAAGAGATATTCTTTATAAAAGTTAAGAGTCAGCCACGCCTACCTAAAACGGCTCGTTCTAACACGCCCCCACATGTCTACGTCACGATGTGGGAAGATTTGCATAACGCCGCCCAAATGTTCACGCAAAGAAAGAAGGCGTAACTTTTATTCTCGCTGTAGTATTGTTGCCGCCGCCGCCATGTCGTGAAGGCGCTGTGTGATTCGTTGTGAAAGCGAAACTACTTTGTTTGGCCTTCCAAAAGAGGACGATATCCGCTTCGTCATGCCTAGAGCTGATCCATGCTGGTTGCTGAGGAAATACAACTTTGTGCTGTGGATCGCCGGATAGGCTTTCACCGTGGACGAAGCGGAGTCCAGCCCGGGGTCGTCACATGTGGTTGCCGCAAGCCCTCCGGACGCTCCTTCGTCGAATCTGCCAGCTGTTCCTCACTCTAGCCCCCGGCCTCTGCTCACTCTATTTGAGAGTTTCATGTCATGCTTTTTTTTTATTAATTCTGAATCATGATTAATAATAAAATGTAAAAATATACCATCCAGTCCATTTACTTGTGACAGTAAAAAACAGGCTACATATTTTTTTTATGAAAAATGTATTCATGGTGTAAAATTTACTTTTTATCATGCCTACCAGTGTTGGATAAATTGAGAAAATTTACTAGTCAACACTATTTTTATGCTATAAATATGCTATTTGATTTTAATAAAAATTCACAGGTTAGAGTTCTCTAAACTTTAGTATGCAGTGAAAAAATCTATTTGAAAGTTGTCATATTGCTTGCTATTGCTTTAGCATCCGTATAAATGTGACACAAATCCTAAAGTGACCACCCCTTAATAGGAACTTACTTTATGTTGGGTCTAAAGTATCATTTCTTTTGAAGGGGGCTTTATAGGATCTCTCGCAGGAGACCTTGTTGCAGAAGTGATGGAGCAGGGACGGATACAGTGGCCGGCAGGCTCGGCTCTTACAGCACGTCTGCGGCGCCTCATTACTGCCTATCAGCGTTATACACGACGTGAGCCGCTTCGTCATGATTTTCTCTTACACGAGGGAATTGCACCTGTGGCCTGGCAAATAGGAGAGTTTAGGCACTGCACTACTGAGCCTGACCCGCTCTTTTTAGAGTGGCAACGAAGGTGAGTGATGCGACAGTGGTTTTATTGTCTACAGTTATTTTCTCAAGATGAAATCAAAGAATTTAATTTGCTTTTTTTTTTTTTTAATATGCAAATGGAAACCAGTTCCTTTGGGTCAAATTGTAGTATTCTCTAGACCTGTCGCGATAATTAAATAACCGTCTAATCGCGATTATTTGATGATTATTGTGCTTTTTATAGGAGACAAGGGGGAGTCATACACCAAAAGAAACAGATGCTTTCACTTTCGAATTCGCGGTCTTGTTGTCACTGTTTTGCTTAAATACATCCACACACCTTTCATTTTTTAAAGACTAAAACAAAAGATGGCCTCATTGTTATTCTTAATTAAGAAGCACAACAACAATAAATCAGTAAGATACAATGACAAACTAGCTTACAAAACGTTTAACAAAA